CTCTGAGAATATTGATTGATATGATGGACTATTAAAAACCATATTAAAACCAAGAGGTGGTGGGATCTTCAAACATTGGGATCTACATCTAGCAGAGGTCTCCTAGTTAGTTAACATCAGAGGCTTTCCTAATTGAGCTTGCCCTGCCCCATCAAAGCCTCCACATACCAGAGAAGGGGATAAAGTCCCCATGGTGCATATGAGGAATATATGCTAGGGAAGACAGTTTGGTTTTGCCTCTAAAGCAAAGGCAAAGCCATCTGTGGGATTGTTTTTGCTCAAGCACCTAGATGCATATGGTGGGTAATGCAGAGGGACAGGGAAACACAATGTGAAGTTCAAGGGGTTTGATTTTCGGGTAAGAACAGTCTGTAATGTTGAACTGTATAATATTGGCTGCTGAATGACACTGCCACTGTATGCCATAACCATCATGGACAATGAGCATGGACTGCTCCTGATACACCAGTTGTGAGCTCCTGATGCAGCTTGCATCACACCATCACAGCAACAGCACACCAGCCCTCCAGCCCTGGAAAACACCTAGGGCAGATAAAACTAAGTCATGGACTAAATGAACTCAACAGACATCTTGGAGGGATGGCCATTGACTATAGGAATGATACTCATGTTTTTGTATTCATATAGATACGTGTATATATATACATAGCTGGAAGGTGTAGGATCTGAGTATGGGGTAGATGGTATAGAATAAGGAATGGATGATGTCCTGGTTTCAGACAAGACAGGGTTAATTTTTGCAGTAGTCAGGAGGGACACCTGTATTCTACACCGCCTTATGTCACTGCTGGGGGCAGGGGAAAAGGGGATCTCTTTTGGTTGGGATAACATGGCAGTGGTTTGTGTTTTACATGGCTCTGTGTGGTGAGTTCTTGTGCATGAATCATCACCTCTTCCTTGTACACTGTCATTAGTATTGTTGCTGTTACTGTTCCTTTTCTTATCACACTGCTGTTTCCAGTAAATTGTTCTTATGTCAAACCACGATCTTTTCCTTTTGTGCCTTCAGTTCTCCTCTCTAGCTCACTGCAGGTGGGAGGGAGAAGGGGAAGTGGGAGTGAGGGAACAGCACAAGGTTTGGGGTGATTCAGTGGGAACACTAAATTGGGGAATACCATTCCTAAACCATGGCAATTTTATTTGTCTTAATATGAAGTGGATCAAGATAATTGTTATAAGCAGGACATCATCAGCTCTGGTAGATAAGAGACTGTAAATCTCTAATTTAAACTGGTCTGTGTGGAATTTTGTGGTAACTGAGTATTTCGAGTAGACAGGGCTTGCAGGTTTTCCAACAGCTTATAGTTGGTTACATGTACAGCAGGGAAGATTACATGGGGAAACTTTTCCTCAAAAGTGCTTGGCAGTGCAAGCACATCATTCCCATCACCGAGGTACTTCCTTCAGCACACTGTACTTCTTTTCTGCCTACTCCTTCCTATGGGAGAAAAGTGGCTGAACCAGAAGATTACTGCTTCTCTGTTTGCTCCCCTAAAGACCACCAGAATTATTCCATGGCTGTGTAAACAGTACCAAAGGAGTTTGTAAGTGTCCAGTATTTATGTGTTAAGTTTTAAGTCAGTGAAGGCATCCTTTGCCCTTTAAATAGATGTGTGTTGAAGACAGGAGTGCTAATGATAAACCAGACTTTGAGAAGGACATTTATGTGGGGTTACCCGCTCTTTTGGAGTAGCAGAAAAAGGTTGGGCCTTCCAGCAGCTCACTCAGATGCAGTGAGAAGACTGGTGGAGTGGCACATTTACAATCTTGTGGTTCAGATGTTGTGGGTGGGTTTTTTGCCTTGATGATCTTTGCATTTCTATCACAGTGAGGATCCCAGTAGGCACAGTAGTAAGTAGCAGCATCATCTGGAACTACATCTTTTATTGTAAGAAAACACTGCTTCTGGACAGAACTTCTTTCAACCAAGTATCTGTTTGTTTGAAAGCCACTTTCAGTGGTAACTTTGCCTCCTGAAACAAACAGAAGCCTCTGTGGAGCTTCACCCTCCTTCTGCTTATACCAGTGTATGACAGTGTCATCAAAATTTTCCTGTAATGTCCGAATTTCACATGTCATCCGTGCACTTTTTTGGAACTTCGTGATAGATATAGGACTCTGCTTGGGAATTTCCTGTGCAAATCCATCTAGGAAAGAGAAAAGGAGAAAAAAATTGTCATTAGCTGGAATTGAGGGATTTGGAAAGATGCCTGTTGCCAAGCCATGGGTGCCTGCAAGGAAAGGTAGGAAAATAAGGAAGTACTCACAAGACCAAGGGGCTGTGGCCACAAGCACTACCAGCAGCAGCATGTTTGCTTGTCACGCTTTGCTCTCACTGAGATTCAGAGGAGGATGAAAGGCACTCCAAATGGAAACTGTGTCGTATGGAAGGAGGGGGTGGCTCTCTTGAATGGTCTTCAGTGATGAATCTTCTGTGTGCAAGCAGATGGGGTGTTTTTGCAGAAAATCCTTTCCAGGCTGCCAAATATTAAAATTGGAGAAAAGGCTGTATTCCTGTCTGCTTTTCAAGTAAATCTGGGAAATATTGATAAAATCCAAGGATTGTGGCCCTATAAAATTCTAGTCAAAGTGACTGAGAAAAGGTTGCAAGTAAAGATCATGTTCAGATACGTGTGGTGGAGTGAAGGTTTCAGCCTGGATGTTACCCTGGTGGGCAGTGAGTGTGTCCCTCACCTGAGGGGTGCAGAGAGGTGCGCAGTGTCACAGCAGGCGAGGACTGCCTCTTGCTGCTTCAGCTCAGTCACCTAGATGCAAGGTGCAGAAGTGCCCAGGGTGCCCCTGTGCTGGTAGTGCCCTCCACCAAAGCTGCAGACCATCAACCTGCAGTGACTGCAGAAGCTCAGCTGTGGGGACTTGTCTTTCCTTTGGTTCAGGGTGCGGGAGGAAACGCACAGCCGCAGGATTTCAGTTTCATAGCTTAGCTGAGATGCAAACACTTCTTGGAAACAAGGCTGGAAAACAAAAGAGAACAGCTGTTGTCAACAGCCATTGCAGAGAGACATCTTGATGAATGGGTCTGATGCTGTGAGGTCTCCCCTGTGAACTCTGCTGAAAATTAAAATACTTCCTTTTCCACCCCTTTCATGATTTTCTGCAGCAGGAAAAACAAAGTCTTGTCTCCCCAGCTGAGCCTGGGCTGTTGGTAGATAGGAGTGAAGATGGGTTACTTCGTTCCCTCTCCTGCTGGCACTTGACCACATACAGCACACTGGTGGTAATCACGCTGCTGAGTGGTTTGGAAAGGTGCATGTGAATGCAGAGCTGTGAGGAGGGTCAGGCAAAGACAGACAACTGCCCCTGTGTGGTGGCAATCAAAATGATCCCCTTCTTCCCTATAAATAAATGTGGGAAGGCCTGTTTAATTTTCTTTCAGGCCACCCTGAGGTGAAGGGAGGGAGAGTCAAGGAAGAAATCACTTATCCCGGCAGTCTTTTGCATGGCAACTATAGCTAAGCAGAATGAAAACTGCATTGGCTATTGCATATTGAGGACCTGAAATCAAGGTGCTGTTGCCAAAAAGTACCATGGATGAAACAGAAGCAGTACATTGCTATTCTTCTCATCACAAAGCAAAAATCTTCTGATCACAAAGCAGAAATCTGTCAGGCATCTGATTCTAGATGAAGAAATGAAAGGAATACGTCAGTGACTGGATCACACATGATTAAAAGCCTAATTTACAGACACTGTCTAAGTTTTGTACTGTAAGCTTTCTAACACAGTAAGTCTACAAGTAGGAATAATTACTGACCAAACATGAAAGTGTCTATACGGAGAAGACACATGGAGTGGCTGGAATATTGTTTTACAAAATATCTTTCCAGGTTAAAATTATCACTAAAGAGACTTGTCACTGATGAAATGCCCAAAATGTATTTTGCTAAGAGCTTTGTTATCAAAGTTGTCTAAATAACTTCCTCCTTGTACATTAATGTTGACTAATCCTGATCACTTTCTTCACCTTCCTGTCTGTAAATGGTTTCCAGGATTAGTGGCTCCATCACCTTCCCAGACAGAGACAGTGCTAACCTGACTGCAGTTCCCTAGGTCTTCCTTTTTCTCTTTTTTGAAAATAAGAGAGACATTTAATTTCTTCTAGTCTTCAGGAACCTGTGCAGATTGTTGTGACCTTCCACAGGTAAGTAAGAGTGTCTTTGCAAAGGCATTGGCCAGCTGCCAATGTGGAAACATTCCATCAGGCACCATGGACTTAGGTGTGCACAGTTCAGGTGCTCACTAGCCTGATCCTCCTCCACCAAAGGCTTTGTCTTTCTTGCTCCAAACTTTCCACCTGGTCTCAGGGGCGTGGGATACCTGAAGGCCATTCTTATGGGTAAATGCTGAGGCAAAGGAAATAGTGAGTACCTCAGGTTTTTCCATATCATACATCACCAATTTCCCTGCCCCATCCAGCAGCTTTCCCTAGTGTTTGTTTTGCTGCTGCTGTATTTATAGAATCCTTTCTTGTTCCCCTTTACATCATTTGCCAAATTCAATTCTAGCTAGTTTATTGCCTTCCTAAGCCTATTCCTGCATGGTTGAACAGCAGCTACATACTCCTCCTGGATCACCTGCCCCTGATTCCACCTCTTTTATATTTCATTTTTATGCCTGATTAAAATCAGCAGCTTTTTGCTTACTCTGGAGGTACTCCTGCTGCCTCTACTTGGTTTTCTAGGTGTCAGACTGGACCTTTCTTGAACTTGGAGAAGATCTTTGGATATCAGCTAACATTCCTGGCCAGGGTTGTATCAAGTGTGATACTTCCAAGCAGGTATCTGAAGAACTTTAAAGTCTCCTCTCCTAAAGTTCAGGGCTCAGGTCCTGCCTTTTGCCTGGCAGCTTTCTCTCAGGAGTCTGTACGCCACTGGCTCATAGTCGCTGCAGCCAAACCTGTCCTGACCTTTCCATCCACAACAAGCCCAGTCACCTACGTCAAGAGGTTGCTGCCAACTCACCCCTGAAACATCCTCGACTGGTTGTGAGAAATTCTCAGATCCCACAGTACAATGACAAAAGGCAGGCTGACTGAAGTTAACATCTGAGGTCACATGTACCTATTTTTCAAACAGTTGAGGAGGACAGAAACATCCATAGAAAGATGTTATGCACTCAAATCTCATAGAAACTTTAACCAAAAAAATGTTCAGAGCCTGTAGAACTATAAATCTATCACTGTGGAGGTATTTGTGCTCATTTTTTAAAGGATACTGAACATGTGCACTCAAATTCAGAAAGTGAAAGATGTAAAAGTGTCTCGGTGTTTTGACCTAGCTTTCAGGAAAATGCCAGCTTTCCTGGAACCAGTCTTTGTAGAATCTGATTTTAAAAACTCAGCACACTTAACCCAAAGGCTCTCAGAGTCTCTGCTTGTCTGTGGCATAGCTCATGGCTGAGGATTTCAATTTATGTCTTGAACGTATCAAATAAGGAATTGTGACAATAAAATTAGGTTTTCTGGGCTGTTGTAGGACTTTTTAGTGGCTGAAATGCAAAGGAAGGCAAAAGAAAAATATGAAGGAGGATGTGCAAGATCAGCTGGTCTTCCCCCGTTCTTTCCTATTCCCGTCTTTTCTTCAAGAGAAAACACTGAGGGATGAAGAAATGTTGTTCTGCTTGCTAGGATTCTAACAGAGAAGAGAAATCTATAACTCACACACAAAGACAGACTGTGTTCACTGTCATGCAAGTGCTTTCAGTAAAATCTAGCCTTCATTTTAAGAGCAATGTTTCATATATTTATCTAAAAGTGACAGGAAGGCTTCAGTTTCTGGATGTTGCAGATAAATCTGAGTACTGGAATGATATACTGAATTGTCAACATCAGATCGATCAGATATTTAACACTTGTCATAAGACATAGTTGTTTTTCCTCTCCTGCTGCAGAAAGTCATGAAAGGGGTGGAAAAGGAAGCATTTTAATTTTTAGCGGAGTTCACAGCTTGTGGTTCAGAGCACAAAAAGTCTTTTTGTAAGGCTTATCTTTGCCCAACTGATGCTGTGGTTCTTGTTATGTACCAGTATCCACAGTAATAAATGCCAGAATCCCTCGGGGTTAAAGAACTTATCATGAGACGATATACAGGCTGAGTAGGATCGTTCTGAACTTGAAATCTATTTTTATTGTTGTTGTCATCAAAAACAGGTGCCCCTCCAGTCTCGTACAGTATCCTTTTCGGCGGCTCTCCGTGAAGCTGCCTGTACCAGTGCACAATGGTTTTGTCCCTCAGTTGACATGACATGCTGGCAGACGTGTCCTTCATCTGGTTCTGCAGCTCTGGGGTTTGCACTGGCACAAACTGCATGTCTACACCTGAAAGCAAAAGCATGGGAATTGCATGAGGGTAAAACTCCCGGAGTTTGGAACCAGCCTATGTTCACTGTGGACAGGAAGGAGACAGGAGAGGAAAAAGATCTTACAGGACCAAAATGAAGTTGCAAGAAGGACTGGAAACAGCAACATACTGCCTGTGCAGATTAGACCTGAAAATGAAATAAATAGAAACAGTTATAAATGTTATAATGTTATAAAGCCCTTCAGGTAGACAAAGCATCAAACGACTGGGAGGAGGAAATGACTCATTCAGCACATCCAATGGTCGTTCTTCAACACACCACCCAAGGGGTGTTACATTTACTGACAAGCTAAACCATGGCAGGAACAGCACAGAATGGACAAAAAATACTCAACCTGAAAAAAACTTATTAATCTATCTACCTACTACACTTATTTCAGACTTACCCACTGAGCACACACATAAAAATTCAAGTTGATCAGTCTGGCTGTTCCCAAGGATGTTCTCTTCTCAAACACCTCAGAACTGTCCCAGAAGAATGTTCCACCAGCCTTTCCCTAGAACTTCAGGGAATCATAGAATAATAGAATGTTTTGGGTTGGAAAGGACTTTAAAGATCATCTAGCTTTCATCTCCACCCTGTGGGGAGGGATGTCATCCTCTAGGTCAGGTTGCTCAGGGCCCCATCCAACCTGTCCTTGAACACATCAAGGGATGGAGCATCTAGATCTTCTCTGGGTTGTCTGTTCAGTGCCTCACAACTCTCAGAGTAAAGAATTTCTTCCTAACATCTGCTTGAAAAAATCTTTCAGTTTAAAACCCTTCCCCGTTCTTCTATCACCATCTACCCTTGTAAAGATTTGTTTTCTGTCAGTGCCCTTTAGATACTGGAATGCTTCAATAAGGTCTCCCCTAAGCATTTTCATGTCCAGGCTGAACAGCCCCAGCTAGGTTTTAACTAGGCTGGTCACTAGTGCTGTCTGCCAAGGCTCAGCACTGGGCCCAGTATTGTTCAACTTTCTCATCAATGACTTGGGGAAAGGGACAGATGCCTCTTGAGTTCACTGACAGCACGAAGCTGGAAGGAGTGGCTGATACCTCAGAGGGCTTCAGAGGGACCTTGACAGGATGGAGAGATGGGCAGGCTACTTCCCACCTGAGGGCATCTGCCTGCAGCAGCGTGGCAAATGGTCAGAGCTGTTCAGTGTTGCTCTAAGTGCATGTGGAATTTATGAGGCTGGTTGAGGATGATATGAGCTGGGCTCTGTGCGGCCCTTACACCTGGCTTGAGAAAGGTCTCACAACCAAAGGATGCCTGGGGTGAAGTGGAGGTCTCACAGCCCTGTGTGGTTTCAGTGAGGAACAAAGGAGCACCTGTGCCCATGTACCACCCCTTGTCCTCACTCTCCCTTCACTCTGAAAGGTGAGCCTTGCTGTAAATCTGCTCTGATGAGAAGAAAAGGCACACAAAAACTCTCTGGAAAAGATCAGACAGCAAACACTGCTTCAGATATTAGAGGGGGGTGGGGCAAAAGTGTTTATTTCATCACTTGTGTTAAATATAAATTCTGACCAAAAGTAAGTGACACTAAAAGTAAGTGACAAGTGACATATTTAACTTTCATGTCCCTTGGAATGCAAATGAGGAAGAACAGGAGACATGTAATACATGTATGGCCAAAGTTACCAAACCCCATCTATAGCATGTGATTGTTCCATCTCATTGGAAAGGGCCAAAAATTTATAGTATAAAAGGGGGCTTTGAGGCAGAAAGAGTTGGAGGGGCAGGAAATAGGTTTTGCCTGCTTCAGATTGATTGGTGGACTGTGTCTCTCCTTCTCTCCTGAGGGGAAGAATTTTGGTTAGCTTTGCACCTCCAACTGCATAGGAACAGGTCTAGGAATACTTAATCGTATTTGTCTATCTATCAATCTATCTTAGAAAAACAGTCAGCTGTTAATTTCACTGTGCATCAAGAATTACAGATACATAAAATGCCGTGTAAACATTTGGTCGCACTAACCGTGACACATTTATTTTGAAGATCTTTGCATCCCTTTAACTCTCTCAGGTTGTTGCATGAAATACAGAGTTCCTCTGGCAGTAGTGTCTTGCCAGCAGCAAGGTGGTTGGACCTCTGTGCAAGTGCCTGCCTTCCTTGATAATGGGGTTGTAGCACCAAATAGGAAAACATACAGCTGGTGGCTCTATTAGGACAGACTCAGTGGCTGTGGCAAAACCAGGGAGAAGTATGCATTTCTACCAGATAGGTATTTGCTGCCCCTTGCTTTTTATGGTACTTCCCCTGAATTTCAAAGGCTGAAAATATGCCCTGCAAAGACTTTATAGCAAATGGTCCCGTGGGAAGCAGCCATCATACATCATGTTCTTCCCTGAGAAAATTTTCACATTTTCTGACCCAAAAGAGAGAATCCTCTGGATAATTTTTAAGCTTTTGTCAATAGCACTGTACACAAATAAATCTCATATTACACCTAGTACAGAAAGTTAATACTTTTCTGTTGTCCTTGTGATAAATACATGAGTTTGTGTCAGGTCCTGTAGTGCAGATATACCTAAAATGAAAAAACCAAAAAAGAACTCGCATGGGCAGGGGGTTGTGAATACCCTTGCCACATGAAATTTCACTGCAGCTCTTCTCACAGCTGTCTGGCTGAGCAGTGCTGTATCACCACTTCTATATGTTCCCTGGTTTAATCTGCAGCTTGTCCTTGTAAAAGGTCTTCACAGCTCTTTCTTGGAACAGTCTTTTCAGGTGTTGCCCAGTGTAATGGATCCTTGCCTACAAAAGTCATTGTCATCATAACCATTAGGATGGGAGTTACTACTGATAAGTATCACCTTTATCTCCACCATCATCTGCATTTGAAGCCTCCCAAGCTAGATCTTAAGTGCAAATATCCTTCTCCTATGCTCCCTCCCCGATATTGCTTAGTTTTTGCTTTCTCAGGCTGTATTTGGGGAAGTATCTGTGTTGTTCAGAGATGATCTGTGTTACTATATAATTTAGCTGCAATGCCATCACCCACAGGAGTGCTCATTTTCCCCAGCACAGAGCATTGTACTACCTAAGTTGCATCTTTGGTTTTCTCCTTGTCTGATATTCATGTAAACATGCTCAGCATCAATGTGTTGGGGTGTTTAAGAGGCAGGAAAGTGCAGTTATGATTCTCTGTGTTTGACAGAAAGCCTTCCCCTCAGGGCACAGGCAGCTTTCTGTACAGGCTGCCTGTCACCTGCAAGTTCCGTGGAAATGCCAGTAGGCACAGTAGTAGGTACCTTCATCATTGGAGTTGATGTCATTGATTGTGAAAGTGCAGATATTTGTACCTCTCTTGAAAGAAGAATACTTGTTGCTGTACAAACTGTCATCGTAAGAAGCAGCACCGGGGCCGATGTACAGAATCCGTTCTGGAGCTTTGGAGAGTCTGTGTCGGTACCAATGTATATATAAGTGCTGGAAATCAGAAATACCCTCAGCTATACAGTCCATTGATGCAGTTGTCTTGTGCCCTCTGGTAATGGACAGTTGTCTCTGCTTTAGAAACATTTGTGCTTGTCCATCTAGAAAGAAAGAGAGAAAACAGAAGAAATACTCTTAGCTTGCTATTCATTCACACACATAAACATGGGATGCATCCTTCCATTGCTCTGTGTCATGGTGACAAAGGGAACCTACGAGACCAGGCTGCTGCCAGGGCCAGGAGATGAAGCAGCAGCATCCTGAGGGCTCTTGCTTGTGTCTGCCCTCAGGAGGAAGCTAACAGCGCTCCCAGCAAGGGCAGAGCATTGCAACTGAGGAAAGGAAATTACTCACTTGGGCTTTCAGAGAGGTTGTCCTGGCAGGTGTTGTTTGAGATAAAGCAGACTGATTGAACCCTTCAAAATCAACAGTCAGATTATAGCTTTACACAAGTGGCACAAACCTCCCTTCAAATTACCTTAACTCATCTATAAAGTAATTTTGTAGTCTAAAGCAAATTTTACCACTGATTTTAGACTACTTGAAAGCTTCTAAACAATGCCTGGACTCTACCTTGGTCTTTCGAGACCAAGGAAATGGACTTTTCTTCAGGTTGGCTGCCAATAAAACATAAAAAAACAAAACTCAAATCATGGAGCTAAATGAATTGGAGGGGTGTGAAATTACTGTTTGTGACACAGATTGAATATTGAAGACCAGGAAAATACACAGCAGAGATTTGGGAGCTCAAAAGCAGGATTGTTGTGTTTGTGACTGTTTCTTGTCACAGGTAAGGTGAGATGCTACACCTCAGAGTAGCTTCTCCAAATGCTGGAAAAAAATCACAATGCCAAGAAACACAAATGCTTTGCAACCCCCATAGGCCTAGTTTAAAATAAAGACAATTAAGTCAAGTGAAATACAGAAATTATTTTGTGCAATTCAAAGTAATTTTTCAGACACAAGGTCACCTCTAATTTCCTTGGAAAGAACACTAAACCCTTTTCCTGTTGTCATTTTACTTGTTAGACAGCTTTTAATTTTTCTTCAAGAATTTTCACACAGATCCATTAACTGCTGTCCTACAGTTGTGCCAGGAACCTGATCTTTCAATCTCCTGTGAAATGCAACTGGTGCCCCAGTGCACAGTGTGCTCTGGAGACCCCATACTGGGTACTGTCAATACTGGGTCCTTTGGGATAGGAACATAATGATCCGGTGACTTTATCAACATGTTGTTTGTTCATAAACAGAAAGAGCTGAAATTACTCAAAGGAATGTCTTTCTGTTTGCAAAAATAAAAACATCTGCTCTATAGCTGCAGTCTTGCTATATAGGATGAGAAGCCTCACTGAAGTCAATGAGGACACTTGTGTTTTAACCTAAATGAAAATGTGATCAGCTCCAGCAGAAAACAAAGAGAAAATAAAACTAGGTTCTCAAGTGACAGAGAAGTATAAAATGGGTATATTGCATCTGCAGTCTTAACCGGTGCTTCAAGTTTATTTTGCTAAAATATATAACCTATATATATATAGGTTTTACATATATAACTTATAACCTTCTATTCTGCCATATAAATGACAGAACTAGGGTTTTATTCCAAAGATGTGGCTTGAAGGGTAGTGGGAATAGAAAGATTTTTCCTGCTCTTAGCAGGACCCTGCTTTTAGCCAAACCTGTCATCTTATAAACCCACTCAGAG